TAGAACAGTAAAGGAGCATTTGTGGATTAACAAACTCAGAATGATGGAAAGCTGTTTTTAGATGCAACAACTATAATTAGGGGGATCAAAACGATCCAAACAATGAAATTAGGAGGAAATTGCTAGAAAACTCCTGGTTAAATCAGCGAAGAACCTATTGACTGAGAAAAAAGAAAGGAAAATGAAAAGAAAAAAGAGCAACAAAACAATTAAGTTTTGTTGTTGAGCTTCAGTTTTTTGTGAATGTATCCGAAAATAAAATCAAGGAAGCTTAAGGAGAAAGGTTATATATTTTTATGAGTTTTAAAACATTTGTCCTTTACCGTGACCGTGAAAAAGGTTCTTAGCTGGACACTTACATATCAGGTTCATATCAGGCAGGAATTTGAAAAACATAAAAAAAAAAGGTTTCTTTATCAGTAAGTTAGACATAATTGAATAACTTAAAAGTGGGCTTTTCTAGTACAACATTTTTTTGGGAGGCAGATCTTTTAGTTATCAGGCTCCTCTCCAAGGGAACCACTACCAGTTTCAATCAGCGAGAATCACAGCCTATCTAATTTTAAGACTATGCTTAAAAATGTCCTTTTTGATAAAGCTTATAGTTAAGCTTATCCTGAGCTATCTCTATAATTATTCTGTTTTAGGCTTAGGCTGCTGAAGGACAAAGGGCATTTTGATTAATTCTTTAGTTTTGCATCATTTGCAAGTTCACCTTCTATCTTAATTGTCTTTCTGCTCTTCTATCATAGTAACTTCCTTTGTGGTGGTTCTGCTAAGCTCTGTTTAGCTGTGACAGCATCCTGATTGGAAGCATCAGATGGGCCTGTTTTTCAGTGTTTGTCCTGTTTCTTTCTTAGACATAGTCAGGGGCTCATCTTTTATCATAACTAACTTTATGTGCTTTCTTTCATTCTTCTGACCTGAAAACTGGCTCAGGGCTCAACTGCTAAATGGTTTCTTTTCTAGACAAAGCCAATTATAAAGCTAGATTATAGGAAGAATTTATGGATCAATACTTTCATGTTTCTTTTGAACCTCCACCCATCCTAACCAGAGGCCAATAAACACTGAAGTTTGTTCTGCTGGAAATGTTCCATCTGCTAATATTTCCCCTCTACTATTACTGCATGCATACTTGGGGATAGCGACTGCTGAGGTCAACTGTACAATGCAAATGAATATCTGCAGCAAAGTCAGTAACACGATGCAATCCGGTGAGTTTTCCAAGACAGAAAACTTTTATCTAGTTTCTCGGCATGATTCAATTCAGTTTATGCATATAGCAGCAATTCACAACACGTGTCATCTCAAGGCTCTTTAAAGAGACAATTTAAATAGATTGGTTCAAAATTTTTAATCTCAGGAAAACCAGTTGATTTGCATCGACTCATTAACTCAAAGGCAATCTCTCACACT